ATGTGTAATTCACGATAAGTCAGTGTCAGAACAACATACCATTTGATTTTTTGTAGTGCAATATGATAAAAGTTGGATATACAAAATCATATTATTAAATAAATTTGTATTGAAGGATGAAATAACAAACTTGAGTTATACTTCATTTTTAACACGATTGTATTATACTTCATTGTTAACTAGTCTCTAATTACTTCCAATCTCATCATCAAGCTTCTATACAATTACATAAGAAATATCCTGTTTTTCAATAATTTAATTAACTGACTTTTCAATCGAATTTTAATCTAAAATTTTATGGAGATAATCTACGCTTAATGAAGAATATGCTCACAAAATTAGGTCAAAATACGACAAATTAAGCTTCTGATATGTGGGATGAACTTAACGGATGGTGGACTTTTATCTTGAATAAAATAACATACATGAAAAAATGTGTAATTCACGATAAGTCAGTGTCAGAACAACAGACCATTTGTTTTTTGTAGTGCAATATGATAAAAGTGGGATATATAAAATCATATTATTTGATGGAGTATATGGCCCAGGAACCTCCGACCCACATACTTCCACTACTACAGCCAGGCCAAACAGGCCCAAACGGCCCAAACATAGCAAACAAGACTCCAGACAGCCCATACTACAACAGGTTACTGCCTTCGGCCCCATGGCCGAAGGCCACACATTCGGAAAACAGTTACACTTGGTCGACTAACGTCACTGGGAAATTCAGGCTGAGATTACGTGCACCCTTCGGTATTTACAGCCTTTGACTCATACATAGCCTTCGGTACAAGGGGTCCCCGGGTGCATGTAACCGAGGGCACTCTCCTCGACAGGATCTCCCCCCCCCCACATGCGCTGAATTGCCGCATTGAATGCAAACGTCACACCCAAACCGCCGCATTGAATGCCGCCACATGCTATGTCGATGCCACCCTGGCTGAGTTGACCCTCCATCACCGGTTGCTTGACACGTGTACCCTCGTTGATTAGACCTAACATTTATGGTTGTTCTAAATAGCAGCCATTCTTACATTGTAATCGACACAACGACCTCATTTAATACATATTCACTCTCTCTCTTACTTGCTCTGACCTCCCTCTTAATATTTGCTATAATATCCCTCGAATAAACTACCCCCGGGTTCACTATCCATCATTTGGTGCTCTCATTGAGAGGCTCGAACAATCAAGTAAGAAACTCTGCCCTCCAAAAAACAAAACACTCCTCAGAATGAGTAGAACTTGAGGTCAATCCAAGACCCTAGAGGAAAAGAATCTAGGCCTCGATGAGGTTGACACCGTTGAAGCCTCAAACAAGGCTCCCGAAGGCGGGTCCCTCGCTGAAATGGAGCAAGTCACTGCAGACCTGCGCCTTCAGCTCTAGAAGAATGCTCTCGGCGCTCGTGTCGACCTCGAAACCCGTAGGAAGGACCAGAGTGAAAACCAAATTAGCCCTCCGGTCCTAACTATCGACATACAATCGACTTTCTCTGCCTTCATCCACACTCTCACCCAGAACCAAGGTGCCTTCGGGGCTTTAGTACCACCTCAGGCCCACGTTGGGGAGAATGTCATTCCATGCCCGCTACTTCCGGCCCCTTCATACCCCTGGTTCCAAGAATCAAGAATAACGAAGGGGTCGTTGCTCAGGACACCGCGTCTCAGGAGGTTTAGTCTCTGGACCAGCACGACGCGAACAAAGATGAGCCCCAGGCCTCCGCCCTCGATAGGCTCGGAGGAGCACGTAACCCACGAGGGGTCCAAGACTGCCTCGGTGGTAGTGTTCCAAAGACCTCAAGAGAGCGGAGGATCCATCTCGAGGGCAGATGAGAGGCGTCCCCCTCGGGACAAGGGCAAGAGACTGGTGCATGATGATGACGCCAGACACCGGATCAACCAGGCTCACTCGGCCCGCGTACAATCGCTTGGGCGGAGGCAATACCAAAGGATCATAGGGATGGTATTATTAAGGCCCTACAACGCCAGCTCGACGAGATGGAGGCTCGTCAGGCCCATACGATGGCCTACACCTCACAGGTAGACCCCAAATACGCCGCCGTGCTGTCCAAGGTGGACGAAATGCAGAAGAAGCTTGCCGAAGGCTCCGGGGAACCCGTCATCCAACTTCGCACGAGGACCCTTTTACCCCAAGGGTATTGGCGGCTCAGATCCCAGGGAAATACCGAGGGCAGACCATCAAGCCATATGAAGAGAAGACGGATCCCCAGGAGCACTATAGCAGGTACCAAAATAGAATGATGATGATGGGGGCCTCGGATGAGTATTTGTGCCGTTGGTTCCTCTCCACATTGGAAGGACCAATGTACGAATGGTTCAACCGACTGCTCAAAGGGAGTATTGATTCTTGGTAAGAACTCGTGCATCATTTCTTGACGCAATTCGCGGGAAGGCACCGGTTAAAGAAGCATTTCTTCCACTTACTAATAATAAGGCAACAGAAGGAGGAGACCCTTCGGGACTTCTTGGAACGTTGGAGGTAGGAGACGGACAAAGTTGACGGCGCCGACGACAGGACCCTAATGGCTCTCTTGTAGACGGTCCTCCGCTCCGGGAACTTCTCGAGGAGCCTCATCACCGAGCCACCCCGCGACTATAAGGGCCCTTCAAAGGGGAGATAGGTACGCCAAAGTTGAGGAGGTAGACAAATACCGCCAAAACCCTGAACAACCCCACAAACAAGAAGGCAAGAACCAACGGAATCTGGGGGCTCCGCCCCATCCGGTGAAGTTGCAAGCTCCTTTTGGTGACCGTCCCCGACATGCCCAAACCAAGCCCGGGGGAGGTTACAAGAACAATCCGAGGGCTTGGGCACAACCCACGCTTTTAGAACACCCTCGGACCCCCCTGACGCACCCCATCAGCGTCATCCTGGACTACGCCGAGGAGAGGGGTCTAGTGGAGCGAGATTCTAGGGCACCTCAGGAGGTGTATGCCATCAATCCAAACGAACCTTATTGTCGCTTCCACCGTCAGCCACGACATCGGACCGATGACTGCCACCAGGTGAAGGCAGCTATCGAGAGATTGATAGAGAGGGGCCATCTGTCCCAGTTCGTGAGGGGTTCCCCTACCAAGGCCCCCCTACGAAAGCAAACGCCTGGATCAACCCCAACACCATTCCCCTCGACGATCCGAATGGCAAGAAGCGAGAGATTGAGAACCTCAGCGAGCAAGAGGCGTACCAGCATCCTCAAGAGAAGAAGCGCCACATCCACATGATCATCGGCGGCAACACATGAGGAGACTCCGCGAGCCAAAGGAAGAAGTGGGCACAATCCTCTTACGTAGGGGAGGTCAATCACATGCCCCACGCCAAGCAGTCGAGGGAGGAGCCCATAGTGTTCATGAACGTTGATCTCCCCCTAGGGTCTCTCCCTCATAGAGACGCACTCGTGATTTAGAGTGAGATCAACAACACCATCGTCCACAGAACCTACGTTGACAGCGGCATCTCCGTTAACGTGATGTACCTTAGCACATTGAGGGAGCTGCATTTGCAACGAGAATCCCTTCGGCCTACCCGCCCCCCCCCCCCCCCTGTCTGGCTTCACCGGGGACACCATTGATTCTGAACAGGTAATATCCCTCTCGATTCTCTTCGACGACGACTCCCATAGAGCCAAGCTCGAAGTGGAGTTCATTACCGTCAACCTCGACTGTGCTCACAACATTATCCTTCGCCGCCCCTGTAACACCCCCAAATTTCCCACCCAAAATTTCATTTAAATAATGATTTATTGGAAAGTATTACTAACTTTATTTGAAAACATCAGAAAATATGCAGCGGAAAATTTAAAGGGAAATAGGGGTGCTACCGCCACACTCGGTTCTCTCTTAACCGAGTGCACAGGCTAAAACAACTTAAACTTCAAAATCAAAAGTTCACTGATTAAAGTTATTGAAAAAGAAATTTACAATGATTTGCTAATAATGTTTTCTAGCGAAAGCTCTCTCTCGAAATCAATTTCAACATCGATCAACTCAACACCTGTACAAAAATCATGTACAAAAAGAAAAATAAAAGAAACACACATTAGCAATAATGCTAAGTAAGTTTCACCTAACCTTTTAAAATAATAAATAATAGTATATATATAAATTCGTACAACCATTAGTATAAAAATATTTTCAAAACACTTTATAAATCATAAGTAAACGATATCTTTACAAAATCTCAATCATATAACTCGTGAACCATAAAAATTCCAAAATACATGAAACACCAAAATTTCTCCTCTATTGAATTTCTCCAAAAATCACTTTGTAACTAACTTCCTAGTAATTTAGAATGGCGGTGCTCAACACTCTGGTTGAGCCCGGTGATCCGTTGTTATGTACGGTCACCCCGGAACTATCGCCGGTACCACAACTGCTCCTTGGAAACGGAAACAACTACTTTAAGTTTGCACACCCCCTAGAGGTATTCCAAGCCCTCCGGGTTAGTAAGTCGATCCGGGTAGCCGGGATGTTTTCTACCAACTACCCCACCTCAAAAACTGAATGATTAGGAGCTACTACTACCACTACTGCTCAAAAGCCGAGATGTTTTCTACCGACCGCCAATTCACCTCAAACCAGAACCACCAAAAATTGAGTAGTAGTAGACCTAACCATCTTCCACATTTTAAGGGACGTGGAAAACCAACATCACGGATTTCTCCCGTGATGCTCACCTTTTATGAAAGTATTTATTTTTCTCAAAATCAATCGAAGTTTATACTTAAAAAATTCCTTTTTCATCAAACTCCCACAACAATAACAAATTACGTACTATTACAAAATCTCCCAAAATCATATACAATAACTCATATCAACAAAACAACATATCAACTAATATCTCAAATACAACTCTTTCGTATAATAATATTCACTCAAAATCAGCACACATAAATTCAATTCTCAAATATGCACACAAAAATACTTAAAAGAAATCACGAAGAAAAAGAACTAATTTCGGTTGATGTGAAACTTACCTCAAACTCGAAGTACTCTAGACAATTCTTCTACGACTTTGCTCCTCACTCAATCCACCTTCTATTAAAATTCAACAATCAATATCTTCCAATCATACTAGTTAAATTTATCTACCCTTTATTTATAAATTATCCATCTTAGTATTTTCTTATTCCACAAATTATTAATCTATAGTCCATAATTTATTATTAATATTAATATTATTATTATTATTATTATTATTATTATTATTAAAATTCAGTCTAGCCAATTAAATAACTTTATAAGTTAATCAGATTAGTCCATTGCCTCATTCTTACGGCCAGCCCATGCTAACTATAGTCAGCCCATAATTAAAATGAAAGAGACTTGGCCCACCAGCATATAATAGCATACGGAGCAATACAGAGTAATAGACGTACTCTTCGTCTGTCGTCTTCCCCGGCAGTTCAACGCAGAACAAGAAGGTGCAGGTGTAGCAGCGGCACTCTTTCGTCGACGTCCTATGCGGTCTACTCCTCCAGAGATACCATTGGTTCTTCCTCAGGCAAGAATTCAGTCCGGCAGCAGTACTCCGGCAAATACATCGGCGGGAACGGTTCGGCAGCTTCCTTCTTCCAGGCGAGCGTCGTCAGCCTTCTTGGTATCTGTTTTCTTGGCGTAGCAGCGGCCTCTCACTCTGGCATTCCGGCATAGCAGATCCTCCGGTGGCAGCAGGTTCGGCTTTTATTCTCCCAACATTGGCCTGCGTTCTTTTTGTCAGTGGCGCGCAGGTTCTAGGCAACGTTCCGTGGCAGCGGCGCTAGGAGACGATCCGATTTACTCCGGAGGCAGGATGGAGTCGGAACTACGGTTGACTGCGGCATACTCCTCTTTTTCGGCGACGACCCTCTCTTCCAGAGACGGCAGCAGGCTCCATCCTCAAAGATGACGGTGAAGATGATCTCCGACGTTCTCCTCTTCTCCGGCGTTGTGGGGCGTATGTTGGCCAACTGGCATATATGTGCGCAGGTTTCGTTTCTTCGAATGTTTTGGTGCGTAGTGTTGGACAACGACGGCGGCGGCCCTTTCGTATGCGAAGATCGTAAATCGCATATATATATATATATATATATATATATATATATATATATATATATATATATATATATATATATATATATATATATATATATATATATATATATATATATATATATATATATATATATATATATATATATATATATATATATATATATATATATATATATATATATATATGGAAGAGTTCAAATGAAAAGTGGTCTTCCCGTGCAAATTGCAAAGTTTTCACTTTTTCAAGTTTCGCTTGCACTTTTTGTTGTTTGCGTTGCACTTTTTGGTCATTTTGATTTTGGCCAAATTCGGCCAAAATGACGGTGGCAGTTTTGTAAATAAACCAATTTTTTGAGCTATCGCGAAAAAGTGCAACAAAAGCAAGAAAAAGTGCAAGCGAAACATGAAAAAGTGTAAACTTTTCACTTTGCACGTTAAGACATCTTTTTATTTGAACCATCCCCTATATATATATATATATATATATATATATATATATATATATATATATATATATATATATATATATATATATATATATATATATATATATATATATATATATATATATATATATATATATATATATATATATATATATATATATATATATATATATATATATATATATATATATATATATATATATATATATATATATATATATATATATATATATATATATATATATATATATAGGGTGCGGTTCCAATGAGAACGATGCTTAATGTGAGAACGTGAGAACACTCACAATTAACCCAATGGAATACACAATAGAGCCCGTGTGGTGTACAATTTGACTTTGCTCAAAATAAGTCAATATAAATAATACGGTGGCATTCTGGTAAATATTATGTCGAACACGAAAAAGTGCATTGAGTGAGCCTCATTGTGCATCACATTGGGGTAAATGTGGCGTTCTCACGTTCTCACGTTAAGCATTGTTCTTATTTGATCCTAAATCTATATATATATATATATATAGGGGGTGGTTCAAATAAAAAGTGGTCTTAACGTGCAAAGTTTGCACTTTTTCATGTTTCGCTTGCACTTTTTCTTGCTTTCATTGCACTTTTTCGCGGGTAGCTCAAAAAAATTGGTCTATTTACAAAACTGTCACCGTCATTTTGGCCGAATTTGGCCAAAATCAAAATGGCCATAAAGTGCAACGCAAACAAGAAAAAGTGCAAGCGAAACATGAAAAAGTGAAAACTTTGCACTTTGCACGGGAAGACCACTTTTCATTTGAACTCTTCCCTATATATATACATATGATGAATGATATATATAGTTATATATATATATAACTGGGCCCTCGGTGGCAGTTATAGAGCCGAGTCCTAATGATGTGCTTTCCCATGCCCCCGAGGGGTGCTTTGCAGTGCACATGCTTTCAATGACCTTGGGCCTTCGGTTCCCCCTCCACCCGTTTTTGGTGGAGTATCTAAAGTTCATGAAATTGCCTCCCTGCCAGCTGACTCCTAACAGCCATTCCTACATCAAGGGTTTCTTGCACCTATGGTGGTCCCGAGGGGTCACCCCGAGCCTTGACCTTTTCTTTCAAAGCTTCAATCTCTGTAGGGGAGGGCATGCAAATAGTGAAGGATTCGCCAACCTGCAGCAGATCTCCGACTGGAGGCTCTTTTCTGAGGTGCCCTCTTCCCACAAGGGCTGGAAGGACCGATTTTGATACATTCCGTATGGCGGAGAACCCCTTTCCCGGGCCCCTTCGTGATAATTTCCGCAGACACCCAAAGGTGGGCAGCGCGGCCCTGGAGAAGGACAGAAAGAAGCTTATGGCTCTCCCAGAGGGGTCTGAGGATTTGATCACGATCAAGGACGCTGCCCTCCCGGATGATTTGCATAGTCTGGACTTCCAGCGTTACCATCTCTTAGGGAAAAAGGACGAAAAATATCCCCTCATTGATCGTGTGTACAAGAGCGCCTCGGTTCTCGGAGGTGATTTACCGAAGGCATTATGTTGTTGTACTTAGAATTTTTTTTGCATTGTTTCTCTTTTATCTTTGCGGTGATCCCCTCGCTGTCATACTTGGTTTTTCTGCAGGTAGCAACATGGACGTCCAGTCTTTCGCGGCGTTGAAGAGGTAGCGGGGTAAGGCCCAAACCAAGAAGGAGTCGGGCAAGCAAAAACCCGTGGATGCCTTCTTTCAGAAGGGGGCGAGGAGCCCTCTAAATCGGCAGCGGCTGGCGGTGAGGCCAGGGGCTCCCAGGTCGATGCGGCCAAGAAGAAGAAGAAGAAGAAGCATGGGAAGGCGTTTAAGCCCCTAGCGAAGAAGCAGAAGGTAGCTGACTCTGGAAAGCAGCCTACCTCTGACGACGTGATCGTTGTGGACGATGTCGTCGGCTCCATCCCCACGCCTCCGGAGTTCGTCAACGAGGCTTTCTTCGGCCAGGAGAAACTGGAGGCTTTCGTGACGAAGGTAGCTCTGTTCTGGAAGCTATCCTCTGCCCCTCGGTGTTCATGAGCCAAGTGATTCCCTCGACGGACAGGGCGATGCTGGCTCGGATGGATGATGACGCCCTCAATTCCAGGATTCTCCTGAATAGCGTCTCCGTAAGTCATTCCTTCATTCTTATGTTTATTCGCATTTGTTATTGCGCAATGTATGTAGTATGTTTGACCCTTCGCGCCTTTGTTGCTACAGACCTATATGGGCCTCTGCGAGCAGCTCCGGAGGATGGACCAGCTGAGGAAGGCCCACGTTGCTGCTGATGAGGCCTTGAAGAAATCCGATAAGGAGATAGCCTCCCTCCGGAAGAGATTGGCCGATGCTAAGGCGAGCATGGGCCCGGGGCTGGAGGCTGTTGAGGCTAAGGGCAAAGCTGCCGTGGAGGAGGCCGCCAAACTGGCTGCCGAAGCTGCCGAGAGGGCAAGATCGAGGAGGTAGCTAAGACTGAGAGGGCTGCCGTCGATGCCTTCGTGGTCGAGGGCTGGAGTGCCGAGGATAGGAAGGAGTGGCTTTCCTCGGTGGTGGAGAAAAGTGTGGACGCCTGGGTTGAAGGCCCCGACAAGATGTGGTTGGCTGTGCAAGGCGAATCGTATTATCAAGGGGGTGAGTTCTTCACCCAGCGTCTGATATACCGGAAGCTGGCCCGACACTTCAACATTCCTCCGGGGATTTTCGAGCCGGAAACCTACAGTCTCCCCCCTCGGCAGCCAGATATCAGGATCCCCTTGCCCCCGGATGTGGAGAGGCTGACCCTGGAAGTCTCCGAGCTGATGAGGGAGTGTGGCCTGGATGGTGAAGATGAGGTTGTCGGTGATGATGCCACCTCAAAAGCTGCTGAGGAGGGTGCATAAGATATTTGTACTTAGAAATTTTTCCTTTCTGAACTATGCTTGTATATTTTAGCTTCCAACTTCGGTCACGATGTACAAACAATTTAATCTTTCTTTTGTGAATGGATGTTTCTTTTGCCTTTGTCTTTCTTTGTTCTCTTGTCTGTGTACTTAGCTTTCTTCTTGGATTGCTTGTGTTGCGTGAATGAGTTGTGAATCCCCCTGCACTTTGTCCCGGGGCCAACAGTTTAGGACTTAGGAAAATTCAGTCACTTACTCAAAGTGTAGGCCTTCGGTATTGCCTGACGTGCCGGGGGCCCTTAGGTCATGGACTTAGAAAAAATATTCCCTCAATCTAGAAAACAGTAGCCCTCTGTGACGACTGACGTCCTGGGGCTTAGACCCTAGTACTTGTTGAGATGTTGGAGACTGTAATAATGTGGACTTAGCAAATTTCTAACTCCCTTGTAGAATAGGAGCCTTCGGTGCTGGCCGGTGTGTCGGAGGCTTTCGAAATGTTGACTTAGCCAAATTTAGCCCATAGTAGAACAAGAGCCTTTATTGTTGGCTGATGTGCCGGAGGCTTCCAAAAATGTGGGCTTTATATAATTTCTTCATTAATTGCTCGCTGAGTCTACTCCCCCTCACTCCATTTTTTTTGGATGATGGGGGGGGGGGGGGGGGGGGGGGCTTCAAGAAACTTGGTTTCTTGGGAAGACTTGGTCTATTTGGGAGGCAACAACATGAATCGCTGGTCTGTTGCTTGCCTCCCCTTGGGGGATGGCGCGGAAAACATCTCAGTTTTGAAAGTCGTTCCCTCAGCCCGAGACATCGTTTGTTGCCTACTTCCCCTTAGGGGATAGCGCGGGAAGCGTTTCGTTTGTGAAAGTCGAATTCTGGGCCCGGGACATCATCTGTTGCTTGCTACTTGCTTGGGGTAATGACTCGGAAAGCGTTTCACGGAAGGGTTTTATTTGCGTGTTAGGTGCAAATGGCCGGGGCACTTGGTGCTTCCGGAACCGATAGGTGGTGCCTTCGGTACAGGGGCGTCCTCGAGGGGAACGACTTTGTTCTTAGCATAATGTTGTGGGTGTTCATTCAAAACACTTGGTGTTATGTTCAATAATCTGCCTCCGGTACTTGGTATCGAGGGCTTCTTTTAACGAAAAAAACACTTGGTGTTCTTTTCTTCCAATTGTAGTTGATCCGAGGATTCGTCCCCCATCACTTGGTACCGAGGGCTTGTATTTACATAATTAGAATGGAACACTTTTTATTTCATGAAATAAGGCCTTGGTTCGGGGCTTGTTCAAGGGCTTGGCCACCCGAACAAGTTATTATTGATAGAATTTCACCAAGTGATGTACATTCCAATGCCTGGGCACCTCGGTCCCGTTGGTGCGTTGTAGTTTGTAAATCCCTGGTTTGATGATGGCTGTCACGATGTAGGGGCCTTCGAATTTTGGTGTTAGCTTCCCACCCTCAGTATGTTGGCTGACCTCCATTCTTCTTAGGACGTAGTCTCCCACTTGAAATTCTCGAGAACGAACCTTGGAATCGATGTAGCCCCTGACTTGGCGCCTGCAGTTTTCAGCCCTTAGGAAGGCTTGTTCCCGGCGTTCCGAAATGAGATGGAGGTCGAGGGCCATATTTGTGTCGTTGCTTTCGGCTTCGTACTGATCCACCATCCTAGTCGGGAGGGTAACTTTTGTGGGTGCCTTTGCTTCGAACCCATAGCATAAGGCGAATGGGGTCTTGCATGTTGCTCTCTGAGGGGTGGTGTGATAGGCCCACAAGATATTATGTAACTCTTTGACCCAGCCCCCGCATTAGGCCTCGAGTTTTTTCTTCAAGCCTTCAAGCAATGTTCGGTTGGCGTTCTCGACTTGACCGTTGCCTTATGGGTAGGCTACCGAAGAAAAGGTATGCTTTATTCCCCATGCCTCTAGGAGGTCACGGAAGGGGGCTACTTCAAATTGAGTTCCGTTGTCGGAGACGATCTGTTGGGGGACGCCGAACCTGGTGAGAATGTTCATCAGTACAAAACGGCGGCAGCGGGCCTCTGTGATATTGGCTAGGGCTTCGGCCTCTACCCACTTCGTGAAGTAGTCAATGGCCACAATAATGTATCTGTCGTTTGACGTACCCCTCGGTAATGGGCCTACTAGGTCAATGCCCCACCTGAAGAAGAGTATTGTCGTGCTGACGGGAGTGTAGTTTACTGCGGGCCTTCCCGGAGCCTTCTAAAAGTGTCGACAAACGTTGCACTTCCAGGCGAGGTCTGCGCAATCTCGGGCCGTTGTGGGCCAGAAATATCCTTGGATGATTATCCTTCGGGACATGGAGAAGGGTCCCTGATGCGATGAGCAGGTGCCACTGTGCACCTCCTCCATGGCGATCTCGGCCACTTCCTCGTGCAGGCATCAGAGCAAAGTACCATTGTAGGATCATTTGTAGAGTTTACCATTCTCGAGGACGTAGCTTGGAGCCCTCAGCCTGGCTAACTCTTTACGACCCTCATCTTCGGGCAATTGCCCTATTGTGATGAAGTTGGTGATGTCTGAAATCCAGTCCTCCGGCCTCTGGTGTATATCCATGATAGGGTTGGCATGTACGCTGGAGTGATTGAGTTCCTCTATTCTCTCGATCTTGGAGAGGTGTTCTGGGGAATCATCCGAGAGCTTGGATAAGATGTCAGCTTTAGAATTTTGAGCCCTCCGTATTTGAGTGATGGAGTGTGCCTCAAATACCTTGAGCAATTCCTTGGCGGCCTCCCTGTATTGCTTCATTCTCCCCTCCTTTGCTTCATATTCGCCTGAGATCTGGCCGACCACTAGCTTGGAATCACACTTTACGTGGATCATCCTTGCCTTGAGGTTGGTCGCCAGCCGAATGCCACAGAGGAGGGCTTCGTATTCCGCTTCGTTGTTGGAGACTTTAAAGGAGAAGCGAATTGCGTAGTAGGCGCGGAAGCCTTCAGGTGTGATAAGGACCACACCCCCTCCACACGCTTTGGTTGCCGAGGACCCATATGCATAGAGGGTCCACCACTCGTCCCTAATGCTGAGGGCTCGTCCACCACTGTTTATCTTGGCGTGCATTCCGTCACGAAGTCGGCCAGGGCTTGGCCCTTCATGGTGGGCCTCGGACGGATGTCTATGTTGTACTGGCTTAGGAAGATGGCCCATTTTACCATTCTAGAGGAACTGGTAGGGCTCCGCATCAATGCGCCGAGGGGTTGGTGAGTGAGGACTTGTACTAGATGGGCTTGGAAAGAATGGCCCAATTTTTTGACGGTCCAGACGATAGCTAGCACCATTTTTTCCACGGGGGAGTACCTGAGTTCTGCTTCCCAGAGGGTCTTGCTCACATAGAAGATGGCATGTTGGATTCCGTCCTCCTCCCGGATGAGGTAGAGATATAACGTTTCCCCTACCTTGGGCTTTGAGAGCACCGGAGGTGATTGGAGGTATTGTTTCAACTCATGGAAGGCTACTTGGCATTCAGTAGTCCAATGGAAGTCGGCGGTCTTTCTCATTATTTAGAAGAAGGGAATGGACTTCTCCGCTGATTTCGAAAGAAAGCGATTAAGGGCCGCCAAATGGCCTGTCAGCCTCTGAACCTCCTTCATGTTGAGTGGGGGCTCCATGTTGATGATGGCCTAGATCTTCTCTGGATTGGCCTCGATACCCCTTCGGCTCACCATGTATCCTAAAATTTTCCCCCTTGCACGCCGAAGGTGCACTCTTTGGATTCAGCCGAAGGTTGAACTTTGGCATGATGGAAAAAATCTCCCTCAGATCATCGGCGTGACTCATGGATTCCATGCTCTTGACGATCATGTCATCGACGTATGCTTTCATGGTGCGCCCTAATACGGTCTGGAAGACTCTTGCCACCATTCTTGTATAAGTGGCGCCAGAGTTTTTGAGGCCGAAGGCCATGACTAGGTAGCAAAAGATGCCTTCGGGAGTCATGAAAGCTGTTTTCTCCGCGTCTTCCTCGTGCATGTAAATTTGGTGATACCCTCGGAAGGCGTCGAGAAACGACATGATTTCACAGCCCGCTGTTTTGTCCACCAACTGGTCAATGTTGGGCAAAGGGAATGGGTCAATGGGACAAGTGTTATTAAGATTAGTGTAGTCCACACACATGCGGAATGTGGGTGGCTTCTGCGCGAGGCCCACACTAGCGAGCCATGAGGGGTATTTCACCTCCCAGATATGTTTGATGGCGAGGAGCATGGTGACCTCTTCCTTCACAAAATCCCTCCTTTCAGCCGAAAGGTACCTCTTCTTCTGTTTGATCGGTATCATCGAAGGGTCCACCGCCAGGCGGTGAGTGATTACCCTTCGGTGAATTCTCGGCATGTCGTCCGGCCCCCATGCAAAGACAATGGCGTAGGCGCAGAGGGCCTCGATGATGTCGATCTTCAGTTCTTGAGGGAGCTTGGCTCCTATCATCACGACTCTTTCCGGCTTGGCCGGATCGAGCGCGAAGTCTTCCACCTCCTCTACTGGTTCAGCCCTCGGCCTTTCCTCTTCGCCTTCTACCGTTCCAGTGATGGTATCCACGCGGATCTCGGTCTTGCTAACCTTCTTTGTTATCTGGAGGTAGCAGGCGCGTGAAAGTTTTTGGTCCCCCCTCGAGTAGCCGACGCCTATGACAGCAGGGAACTTGAGGCAGAGGTGCCTCGTGGAGATTACTGCTTCCAAATCCTCTAGGGCGGGGCTGTGACACTTCAAAAATTTCAATAAAAATATAATAAATAATATTACTAATTACTAATAAGATAGATAATTTTTCTAATCATATTTGAAATTGATATTTTTATAATAATTATGTTAATCAGATAAAATTTTGATCTAAATAATGGAAGTAACATTTTGTTTTGCAAGTGATATAATAAAATAGGTACACACTTACCTAGTACT